AGCATTGTACTTCAGGACAGATCTTGAAACATCCTTTGTGATGACATTTCATTATAGTAATTGGAAAAGATCTAGTAGTCATGAGATAATAAAAAATTGCCCACTAATTACAGTGAATAAGGAAGACCGAAGAAGAACTGAAGCTTTGGAATTGTGGTGTTGTCAAAGAATACTGACAAAACCGTGGATTACTAGCAGAATGAACAAATCTTCTTGGAAAAAGTACAGGTGGAATGTTTTCTAGAAGCAAGAATGTCCAGACTTCATCTCACATTCTTTGGTCATGTTGTCAGAAGGAACGTCCTTGGAGAAGGATATCATTCTTGGTAAAATAGAGTCTTGAAAAAAGGAGAAGACTCCCAATGAGATGGATTGACACAGTGGCTGCTGTGATGGGCTCAAACATAGCAAAAATTGTGAGGATGGCGCAGGACTGGGCCGTGTTTCGAACTGTCATACATTGGGTCACTGTGAATCAGAGCTGACTTGATGGTACCTAACAACAGTGATAATAAGTAACATTTTGACGCTAATAATCATAGTTTACTGCACACAGTCCCTATCAGAAAGCACTAGCAAGCTGCCTACTTGATGCTTACTGTTGAGGAATTGACCTTAAAGAATTAAAAGCTTTGGAGCTCTCACAGTACACCTGAAATCCTAGTGTTTCTACAATGAATCTATTCATTTAATTTGCATCTTGGGTTTTCAACATGACTATAGAGGGATAGCCAGACTGATACAAGTGAAACCACAATTCTCCTTATTCCTGTGGAAGCATAAATGTAAACAGTGCATTGGCTCAGTCCTGGAATTACAGGTTAGGAATGCTGAAGTGGACCAGTTTGGGATCCTGACTACCATTTATAACATCATTTGTCTCTGCACAGGGATCTTAAAGAGAAGAAAATAATTAATACTCAGTGAGCCAGAAGTTGTATTGAAAATTACATACATTTTTATTTCATTCTCAGACCAGCTTAATGAGATGATACTAGGATTCAAATCCAGATCCTATATTGTTTCTGTTGTACTAGGCTTCTTCCCTTTAATTACACATTCTAAGTTTTAAAAGGTAGACTTATAAGTGAATTCATACACAGGCATTTTCATGAATTTGGGACTGCCCAAGTCAGTTGAGAGGTGATATAGCATAGTGGTTAAACATGGATTCCAGAGTCTGCTGCCTGGGTTCAAATCACTTGTTAGCTGATGACCTTGAACCAGTTCTTAACCTCTTGTTA